ATAACCCTCAAAACCCATTACACACAATAAAAGAACTAGGACTGCACATGTTCATGGACAACTACTTCAAACACTGATGCCTTGATGGTCAGTAAGTGTAGTAATCTAATGAAGAAACTTAATTCAGTGGTTTGTGGTTCAGCATTTGTTCCTATCAGAGCTCTGTTTCCTCTGAGACAAATACTGGTTTGTTCAGATCAATAAAAATATGTATCTCATTTTAAAGCATTTGTACATACAGTAAATGATGCCTCACTATTTAGAGACCAGAATAAAGACTAAAGAGTTGAAAGAAGAATAAAGAGTTGGACCAGTCAACAACCTAACAACCATCCACAACACATACAGCGCATCCGGAAATTATTCACAGCGCTTCACTTTTTCCACATTTTGTTGTTACAGCCTTGTTCCAAAATTGATTAAATTCATTATTTTCCTAAAAATTCTACAAATAATACCCCATAACGACAATGAAGTGATGAAACAACAACAACAAAATCACATGCACATAAGTACACATTCAAAATTGAGCTCAGGTGCATCCTGTTTCCACTGATCATCCTTGAGATGTTTCTACAACAAATTTAGTTGATTGGATATGATTTGGAAAGGCACACACCTATGTAAGGTCCCACAGTTAACAGTGCATGTCAGAGCACAAACCAAGCCATGAAGTCCAAGGAATTGTCTGTAGACCTCAGAGACAGGATTGTATGGAGGCACAGATCTAGGGAAGGGTACAGAAAAATTTCTGCAGCATTGAAGGTTCACAGAAGCATGTAGTCTCTGTTACCCTTAATGGAAGAAGTTTGAAACAACCAGGACTCTTCCTAGAGCTGGCCTCCTGGCCAAACTGAGCAATTGATGGAGAAGGGCCTTGTCTAAACTGGTGACCAAGAAGCTGATGGTCACTCAAGTTGAGCTCCATGATCATATATGCAGATGGGAGAGACCTACAGAAGGACAAACATCACTGCAACACTCCACCGATCTGGGCTTTATGACGGTGTGGCCAAACTCAATCCTCTCCTCAGTGAAGACACGTGAAAACACACACACACAAAAAGGCAAAAAAAAGGCACCTAAAGGACCCTCCGACTCCGAGAAACAAGATTCTCTGGTCTGATGAATCTCATTTCTAAGCATCATGTTTGAAGGAAACCAAGCACTGCTCATCACCAGCAGAATACCATCCCAAAAGTAAAGTGTGCTGGTAGCAGCCTCATGCTGTGGGGCTGTTTTTCACCGGCAGGGACCGAGGGACTCGTCAGAGTAGAAGAAAAGCTCAATGCACCAAAATATAAAGATAGCACTAATGAAAACCCAGTCCAGAGCATTCAGAACCTCAGACTGAGCAGAAGGTTCACCTTCCAACAGGACAATGAACCTAAGCACACAGCAAGAGTGGCTTATAGACAACTCTGTGAATGTCCTTAAGTGGCCCAGCCACAGCCTGCGATTGAACCCAATCAAATATTTCTGGAGAAACCTGAACATGTGCGTCTGCCCCCATCCAACCTGACAGAGCTTGAGAGGTGAAGAGATGAGGAGAAGGATGGCAGATAATTCCCAAATGCTGATGATCAAAGCTTGTCGCATCATACCCGAAAATATTTGAGGCTGTAACTGGTGCCAAAGGTGCTTCAACAAAGTATTGAGCAAAGGCTGTGAATACTTAAGTACATGTGATTTTATTCCCCTTTTTTTTTTATAAATTTGCAAAGATTTCAAACAAACTTCTTTCATGTTGTCATTATGGGGTATTGTTTGTAGAATTTTTTGGAAAATAATGCATTTAATCCATTTTGGAATAAGGCTGTAACATAACAAAATGTGGAAAAAGTGAAGCGCTGTGAATACTTTCTGGATGCACTGTATTAACCATGTGGCAACATGCTAAAAATCACTGAGATAGGAAATTATTGAGGACACACAGACAGATGAACAGATAGACAGATAGATAGCGAAAATTGAAGGAAACACCTAGAAGAGCAAAATGTAGATATTCTTTTCTATTCTGCTGCTCTCTAAACAGACAAGTGTCTAGCTGATCTTTATGAAGTGAACGTTAGGTGCGTCTGTGCTGAATGAGAGCAGGTGTGTGCTGACAGACTGAAACCTGCTGTGAAAAAAGCTTCACATTCACTTCCTCTCGCCTTTTTCTGCCATACTTCCTGTGTCGCCCCAGGACCGCTTGCCCTAAAACAGCCTCAAAGAGCAGCGCAGGTAATACAGACCTCCAGATAGACCTGAATGCTCAGAACTAGACCTCAGGCTGTGTGTGTGTGTTTGTGTGAAACAGACTGAGGTGTGAGAAACGTGATGAATAATTGCTTTAGTGGAGCTAGTGGAGGTTCTGCTCTCTGAAAACACAAGCTGTTTGTTTATATGGTTCTTGCTGTTTTTCCAGACGCTCTTGTTACTGCATCTCCTGCCATTCACCGTGCCCTGGTCTACACACCCCCTCTGTTTTGTCCCTTCATCTTCCCCTTACGGATTCCTCCAGACACTTTTAATAACATATGTGAGACAGCGAATGACAGAAAGAGATGGAACGATGAGGAAATTTCTCCAACTTTGCATCATCAAGATTTCTGCAATGTACAGCACTCTGCCAAAACAGCTTTATATATCAACAATATATACTGAACAAAATTATAAACGCAACACTTTTGTTTTTGCCCCCATTTTTCATGAGCTGAACTCAAAGACCTAAAGCCTTTTTCTATGTACACAAAAGGCCAATTTCTCTCAAATATTGTTCACAAATCTGTCTTAATCTGTGTTAGTGAGCACTTCTCCTTTGCCGGGATAATCCATCCACCTCACAGGTGTGGCATATCAAGATGCTGATTAGAGAGCATGATTATTTCACAGGTGTGCCTTAGTGGCCAGCAATAAAAGGCCACTCTAAAATGTGTAGTTTTACTGTATTGGGGGGCCCGGGGGGGGTCTGAAAACCAGTCAGTATCTGGTGTGACCACCATTTGCCTCACACAGTGCAACACATCTCTTTCGCATAGAGTCGATCAGGTTGTTGATTGTGGCCTGTGGAATGTTGGTCCACTCCTCTTCAATGGCTGTGCGAAGTTGCTGGATATTGGCAGGAACTGGAACACGCTGTCGTATACGTCGATCCAGAGCATCCCATACATGCTCAATGGGTGACATGTCCGGTGAGTATGCTGGCCATGCAAGAACTGGGATGTTTTCAGCTTCCAGAAATTGTGTACAGATCCTTGCAACTTGGGGCCGTGCATTATCATGCTGCAACATGAGGTGATGGCCATGGATGAATGGCACAACAATGGGCCTCAGGATCTCGTCCGGGTGGCTGGTCTCAGACGATCTTGGAGGTGAAGATGCTGGATGAGTCACTGAATTATTCACTCAACTTATTTATTAAAAAACACTGTTAATTTAGAAACGAAAAAGTGAACGCCTTTATGAGTATATCACTGAAATGTTCAATCGACCAATTTGTTTCAGATTCATTCAGAAATTAATAAAGTTACTGAGTCATTAAATCATTCACTCAACTAATTTGCTATACAATATTATCTTTATGTTTATTGAACTGTTGAATAAAAGCAATATCACACCCACTACTGTGCTGTTTTTCCAAACATTATCGTATATTCTATGAACAATACACTTGCTCCTGTGATATTGATTAAAAACACTATTATAAGCGTTAATTGTTAAAATGACAATGTGCAGGTTACGGTTGCATTAAAATAATACGTTTGTATATTTATCTCAAACAAAAAGTACTGCTGCAGTACTGTGGCACAATTATACTTTGATATATACTGAAGGATCATTATCTTTACTTACTAATATGTCTGGATCTGGGCCTTGAGGTGTGTAGACAAGGGTATTCTGAAACTGTTCTGGGTGAGGATCTTGGAAGTTCTGATGGAGTTGAAGTACATCTCTGATTACCTTGGTGCTGTTGTCTCTCTCTTCAAGAGCAACGATCGTGTAATTGCAGTATGAGTCTGTATAAAAGCCCAATTAAAAGAGCATCAAGTCTCTCGTCCATAAACAATGGGCAATTAAACTTGCGCTGTCTGATTCAGATTTACTTACTGAAGTCATTTAACAGAGCAGCTCTTTCAGTCATTCACCTTTGCGTTGCTGTTTTCATTGTTCTTTGCCACTTGAATGAGCTCGTCACTCCACCATCCTCTCTGTAAAGGAAAAGCATTACTCATGTGTAAACGTACAATCCTAATGGAGACTCATCATTATCATTGAAGCACCTGACTGGCTGCTCACTTTGAAAAAGTTACGAATGTAGCTTCCTTCCAAAACTGCAGCTGCTTTCAGCCCAATTCATGAAACATGCAAATAAGATACACACACACACACACACACACACACACACACACACACCAGCCCGGCGGATAATCATGTTACAGCTTTCAACAGTTCCTCTTCCTCTGTGGCTGATTATAAGATGTGGATTTAACAGCGCCAGAGGTTTAACTGCTTTTGTTCTCATTGGCATATGAATGGTTCCTGAGACGGGCTGATGGAGGTGGAGGCGTTTAAACAGCTGATTCGCCGTCTGCTGTGTCACTGATACACTGACTTGAGTAAAGGAGCTATTTTAAATATGTTTGGAGGGAAATATGATTATTGAGCTGCGTGTCTTATTGCTTTGCTGTGTTTGGTTTTGGGTTTAAAATTCAATGATCTTTGATTATAGCAATTAGATGATACATGCATTTGATCAAAGGCTAATCCACATCAGATGATATCTGGGATTTGAGCTTTTGTTCTATGGTGTACAGTTATGTAGTACATTTGTCTGTTTTAGAACATCATTTATAAATGAGCAAGATTAATCATATACAGTGCTGCCACAATACTTGGGAAATATTTGGTTTGATTGAGCTGCTGTTTGTTATATTTGTCTACACTTACTTGTTGTTGCATTGCATCACAATCCTGGTTTGCCGTCATTGAGCTTGGATCTTCCTCACTGTGTGCAGATCTCCTGGCAGTGCCGAAGCATCCGTATGCAGCCATGGAGAACTGGGGCCTGAGTGTGTTTGTGGAGCAGAAGATCTTGTTGGATCCTGACGTCTCCTCCTTCTCCTATCAGATGGAGCTCACCATGGTGGTGGTGCACGAGATCTGCCATCAGGTAAAACACATTTACTGGAGTAACACGAGCATATGAGCTGCTGTGTAGCTTCAGATCCATTAACAGTCAAAGTCAAACTTAATCTTGCTGGTTTATACTGTATATATAGGCGGGGAAGCAATATCAAATGTATACATTATAAATTTAGTCCAATCATATTAATGGATCAGTCACTTTTCTGCACCTCCATCTGAGAATCAGGCCTCAAAGAGGTTTCATTTTTGGATAATAATGTTTTAATTATAGGTCAGTTTTATTTACACAAATGTCGATTTTTTTAAAGGTTCATTTTGTGGTGTAAACTTTTTTTTATCCTTAATTCAACAGAAAAAAGGAATCCCAAATTGTTATAAGTATGTATGACAAATGTACTGTATGTATAAATTCCTTTAAGTGCAAGCGGCTTGCATTTAATGTGTTTGTGTTATTTGACTTTTAATAAGGGATTTTTAATAATAATAATAAACAGGCCTGCAAATTTCCCATTCAGTATAACCCCTCCTTAAACACCCCTTATTTTGGCAAGGAAACATAAATGACATACGCAAAATAAAATCATAAGTAAAATCGGTAAAAAATAATCAGTAAAAAAAAAATACGATGATATGAATTGATCATGAAAATGACCGAAAATTATCGGGTCTGCGCGCTGTGCACGGAAAACCTCAGCTCCGTTTATATAGTCAATATCACATTTCTATTAACTAAACGCACCTGAAAAATAACGGAGGATTTAAAATTAGCTGCGGCTGGGAAAATGTTCGCTCCAAACTGCCCAAAACACAAGAATGCTTTGCATAAAGCGCTTAAAACAAGTCGTATTTAATGCGTGTTTTCTGCAGCGCGGTGAGCGCATAACTTACATCACGTGTTCGTAAACGTTAGAAATTCTCTCGAGTATTTTGCATTTGCATAAAGATTCCTGAAAGCAACTGACTCTCGCCAAACTGTAGACTTCACTGACTAAACGGGCGTCAGTGGGCGCATGCGCATCAACCAGACGCAGCGCAAAAGAGAGATCGCTATCGTTCATTCAAATAAACAAATATTTTAATAAATAAATAAATTCATTGAATTTAGGGTTACAATTCTCCATGTAAGGCAAGCAATGGTATTTTTATGAAGGTGCTAACTATAAAGGGATTAGCATGCGATTTGACTGGCCCAGATTTTATTCCAGTTCATAAAATAATAAAATAAAATGAAATATGCAGATTAATCGATTAGCCTACTGAAATAATTATTTGCTGCCCTAATGTTTAAGAATCCTAATGATTATGCTAATCAAACCCATTAAAAGTTTTTCTTCCTTGACTCAGAATATCCTGTAAGTGCAAATGTCTACTCTTGATATCAACAATTGAACTGCCACTAGTAAAAATGTTCATTTTTGATATCAATAATTCAAATGTCCCTGGTGACAATGTTCATTTCTGATATCATGAATGTGATTGTTACTAAGTAACAAAAGTCATTTTAGATATCCGAAATGACTCTCCTAATTATTGATATCAGAAATACATTTTTAGATATCAGAAATGACAAATGCAACATGTTGAAATACGTTTACAAATATCAAGAATTAACATTTCAACTTTAGTGACAAATGAATTCTTGATATCAGGAATTCACCTTTTTACTAGTGACAATGTAATTATTGATATAAAAAAATAAAGGTTTTTACTAGTAAGAATTGTATTTCTGATATGTGCAATTGGAATTTTAACTAGTAAGAAATCAATTATTGATATCAACAATTGAATTTGAATGGCAGCCTATGGTGACATTTAACTAGTGAAAATACAATTACAGATATCAAGAATTATATTTTTTTACTAGTTGAAATTGAATTCCTGATATCAAGAATTAGCATTTTAACTACTGAAAATTGAATTGTTGATGTCAAGAATTAACATAGTTACTACTCACTTAAAATAGTTGGGTTAAAAATGACCCAACAGATAACCCAATGGTGGGTTACTATTGCACCTACCTAATGTTGGGTTATTTTAACCCAATGGATTGGGTAGTAAGTTAGTAATCCAATGCATTGGGTTATAAAATAACTAATTTGTTGGGTTATTTGGCCAAAATGATGCTTTAACCATCCTGGTATTATTATTATTATTAGTAGTAGAAGTATTATTAGTATTAGTATTGCTATGTAAATAATAATATACAGCATACAAATATTTTGAAAACACTTTATTTCTATTACATTTAAAGTTGTAAAAACTTATATTAAATTAAATAATTGGTTGAAATTGTCTTAATCACTTTCTTATCACATTAGGTTACTTGCAATTGTGTAAGATAAATTTAAATTCACAAATAAACAAACAAACAGAACAAAGCTAGTACAGACAATGTAATTACAGCTGAAACAGGCTTGGGATATGCAATGTTCAAAATGTAAAATAA